CGGCACAGCCTCTCCACGGCACAGCCTCTCCACGGCACAGCCTCTCCACGGCACAGCCTCTCACCACGGCACAGCCTCTCACCACGGCACAGCCTCTCACCACGGCACAGCCTCTCACCACGGCACAGCCTCTCCACGGCACAGCCTCTCCCGGCACAGCCTCTCTCTCCCGGCACAGCCTCTCACAGGCGTGCGTCTCTGAGGCCTGGCAGTAGTGGAGGGGTGAGGGGAATCTAGGTGGGCTTGTCATTGCTGCATTCAGTGTGCACAGGGAAGGGTCAACTGCAGGGTGGAGGCAGGCAGAGCTGCCCACACCTGATGCTTCCCCCAGGGGCTCTCAGACCTAGGGTCACCGCACCCCAACCCCGCAGGCCAGTGATCAGACAGCAGGAAGCCCATCAAAGCTTGCCAAGTCATTTCTGCTCCATCCCGCCACCTCTGCCTCTTGTTACTGAACATAAAGAACACTGGAGCAGGAAAAGGTAAAGAGAAGGGTTGGGAACAGGAAGGGAGGGGGAGGAGGAAGGGAGCCATAATGGAGGGATGGAGAAGGAAAAAAATCAATTCATTGCATCATTACTGAAAATGTGTGGGTGTCTCACAAATGCCATCTGACAAAGTGATCTGTCTCCATGGCTCCCTCTTTTCTGGATGCACCAACACTTGTGCAGTCAAGAAAAGGGGGGAAAGAACTCTTTCCTGACCACTGTCGACAACTGAAATCAGGCGTTTCTGCTTCCTGCACTTGGAGTCAGTCGGTGAATTTCCCACACAGCAGCAGAATTCGCAGAACATTCAGCCCGCGGTGGCCGGCTGTCTACCTCGTCTGCAATCCCTGGGCAGCGAGACATCCCCACTTTGCAATTAAAGGAAGCCTGTTAGGACACCTGCAGAACTCACGGTTTGCCCCATAAGGACTTCTTGGAGACGGTTCGTGGCGACTGCTGTCTTCTTTGTATGTCATAATGGGTACACTAGATCTAGAAAGGGGCTAGGGACTTGAGGCGGCCACCAGCCACCAAAGCAACTCTACCAGGCCTGAGTGAAAACGTCCATATGAATTCAGAAAGCAGACTGCCTCCCACTGCGTGGATGCACTATTGGTTACAGCTAGCAGCTCCTTCTTTGCACACTCAGTCACTGTCCATAGGTGTTCTTATTAAGGCAAATTGGTTGCAGTCTGTTTAAAGGTCCCAATGGCCCATGTCATCTTGGCTACAAACACCACCCATCTGCCATTCATGGTGAACTGTGTGTGTTTCCTGGACACTGACCCCTTTGTCTGGCCACCCCTCTGGGCCCCCTCCATCCCCTGTTTCCATGGCAGCAGCCAGGCTCTTTCAACACAATCCCATCTCTGTCTGCTGATCCAAGGCCCAGCATGGCTGAAAGCTGGCCCTGGGGTTTGGCATCACTGGAGAGAATAATAAACAGGGAGGCAGAAGGCCAGAGTACACCAAGAAAAAGAGCAAGACAGCTCAAGAGAGGAGTTTTAGGAAGGAGTCCTAGGATGCCCACGTCCTCAACATCCACTGAGCCTGCTCAGCCAGTGCCTGCTGGGAAGTCCCCCCACGGGAGCCCCAGCTGGTCAGTGCTTTCCGTCCCCGTGCTGATGATGTTTGGGTCTGTGTCTCCTGTGTCCTCAGATGCAGATGGCATAATCTTTAGGGTGGAGATGAGTAGGAGGCCCCTGGGTCACTGCTGTGTGCTTTCAAAGGGGACTCTGGGACCTAGGTCCCATCCATTGAAAAACTGAGTCTTTTTTTTTTTTTAATATATATACAATTTATTTTTACTTTGTGTTTCCTGGTGTTTTGCCTGCATGTACATCTGTGTGAGGGTGTCAGAAACCCTGGAACTAGAGTTACAGACAGTTGTGAGCTGTCATGTGGGTGCTGGGAATTGAACCCAGGTCCCCTGGAAGAGCAGCCAGTGCTCTTAACCACTGAGCCATCTCTCTAGCTCCATGATTTTTTGTTGGTTTGTTTGTTTGTTTTTCAAAACAGGGTTTCTCTGAGCAATCCTGAATGTCCTGAAACTTGCTTTGTAGACCAGGCTGGCCTCGAGCTCACAGACATTTGCCTGCCTTTCCCAAGTTCTGAGATTAAAAGCATGTGCCACCACTGTCTGGCTCAACTTGACTTTCTATCACTAGAAATGCTGAATTTAGCTCTGAAGTCTATTAGAAACTGATACCCAATACTTTAAAAATTGTTTGGAATGTGTATTCTAAGAGGAATAAATCTAGTTTTTTTTTTTTTTGATGTCAAAAGCAGTTCATTTTTCCAATATAACTGACTAGACAAACTTCCTTTGCCTTCGGCTCCAGGGAGCCTCTAAAGAGCCCACGTGTTAAGTATTTCGCAGCATAAGTGTGTTCTGGACAGCTGAGTTCTCTTCCCTACTGTGCCCCTCCCCCATCCCAACTGCCGCAGCTGGGAACGCTTGTCTCACCTTGACAGAACATGGTGTTTTTAAGTATGTACACATTATGGAGCGGCTGTATCCAGCTAGCTGACGTGAATCTCCCCAGAGCTGTCATTGTGGTGAGCAACTTGACATCCATGCTCAGCAGTTTCCAGAAACATCTAATTAACCATGTTGTTCCCACCCAACTGGGATTATATATGCTCCACGTGACTCTGAATATTGCCAGAGTGGTGATTCTGTACTGTCCCTTTCCACAGACAGTCTGTCCTTTTTCATTGCGAAATTAATTATAAATATTACTTAAGACCATTCCTTCAGTACACAGCAGAGTCACTAATAAGATTGTCATGTTCACAGGAGTCAAAACAATTCTCCTGTTAGAAGAATGGCCGATCTCGAATGCAATACCACAGTATGAGCTGACCTGATACCACCATCTGGTAGACCACAGACACCCCCTTTACCACATATGTGAGTATTGGGGGGGAAGAACACACACACACACACACACCACACACACACCACACACACACACACACACACCACACACACCCACACCACACACCCACACCACACACCCACACCATACACACACCACACA